TGCGAACGCGCTTCGTAATTCTGAGGTCACCGGGTTTGATTCCAGCTGCGGGCGATTTGGCAGCATACCGCCTTGTGTTAGTTTTGTACATGGTTAAATAGGGAGACTTTCTCTCCTTCAGTTTAAGCTCCGCCACTCAACTACAACATTTTACTCATGAATTTGAAATTGTTAAAGACATTCACTAACCTCTTAATCGCACAGCAGCATAGCAGACCTCAGACCGTGAACAAGGATGATTACTGCCAGACTGCACTAAGTGCTCACTGTAGTTGGGTTTTTTGGATAGCCCAGGGACTACTGGCATGCTGGCCGAGACGAAGACCTTGGGTCGAACGTTTGAAGACGGATGTATAATTCACCGTAGCTCCTCTCCATGTTCGTTTCGCAGCCCCATTACGCGAAAAATTGAATAGACAACCCCCCCCCCCCCTTCCTCCCTCCCCCTCCTCACCCTCCCCCCCCCCCCCAAAAAAAAAAACAGTTTCTCAATTAGCATGCTGCAAAAGGCAACTAACGTGATTTTCAATCGAAGCCAGCTTGAACTTTCTGCCTGAGAGGAGAGGATCAAGAATATACATACAAGTAGGTCACACCTGTTGAGCGGATGTGCACGCAACACTAAGATTCTGAAAGAGAGTAAAGTCTATAAATGGGCGAACAACCAGAACCAGAAAATGTCATTTGAAGTAAAGGTGGTCGACCTTATATTGAACACGCAATCCACTAAACACCGATTGGTCATTAGAGATATCTAACACAGTGGTCCACTGTGCGAAAAGAGGCTTGGACTCCTTTTTATTATCCACACACACACAAATATCAAAAAACGTAATCCACCCCATCCGCACCTCAACCCCACATATCTCTCCCTTTTTTTCAGATTAGGATGTTAAATTAATATTAATTTCATGTAGATTAAATCAGTATGTACTTTGTTTGCTTCTGCAGCTCTTCATTAACCGCTTGTACAGTCCTCTGGTTGTGGTTGTGTCGGTGTTTGTGGCTCTGACATCCATTGGGGCTCTCAATGCTTCCATCATGGGTCACTCAAGGTAATGTTTTACACACACACACACACACACACACACACACACACGTTTTGTTATATATATATAAATGGATAGGTGGATAATTGAAAGCATTAATGAATGTATGGATCTGTATGCGCATGTGTATACATAGCAGAACAAATACTTTAGAGACAAGGTACTCCAGCTGTGAATAGGTCGTTGATGTATTCAATTTTAGGTTTCACACATAAGCCGCATTTGAGTTACTTTGACAAGATCTCTTGCTGAATGGCGTGATCACTGGATGGTTGTCCATATCACTGGGTGGTTGTCTATATCACTGGGTGGTTGTCTATATCACTGGATGGTTGTGTATATCACTGGGTGGTTGTCTATATCACTGGGTGGTTGTCTATATCACTGGGTGGTTGTCTATATCACTGGGTGGTTATCTATATCACTGGATGGTTGTCCATATCACTGGGTGGTTGTCTATATCACTGGGTGGTTATCTATATCACTGGATTGTTGTCCATATCACTGGGTGGTTGTCTATATCACTGGATGGTTGTCTATATCACTGGATGGTTGTCCATATCACTGGGTGGTTGTCTATATCACTGGGTGGTTGTCTATATCACTGGATGGTTGTGTATATCACTGGGTGGTTGTCTATATCACTGGGTGGTTGTCTATATCACTGGGTGGTTGTCTATATCACTGGATGGTTGTCTATATCACTGGATGGTTGTCCATATCACTGGGTGGTTGTCTATATCACTGGGTGGTTGTCCATATCACTGGGAGGTTGTCTATATCACTGGGTGGTTGTCTATATCACTGGGTGGTTGGTCAAATAACTTGCTGATTGACGAGACTACTGGATGGTTGTCCATATCACTGGATGGTTGTCCATACCACTGGATGGTTGTCCATATCACTGGATGGTTGTCCATATCACTGGCAGGTTGTCCATATCACTGGCAGGTTGTCTATATCACTGGCAGGTTGTCCGTATCACTGGCAGGTTGTCCATATCACTGGCAGGTTGTCCATATCACTGGCAGGTTGTCTATATCACTGGCATGTTGTCTATATCACTGGCAGGTTGTCCATATCACTGGCAGGTTGTCCATATCACTGGCAGGTTGTCCATATCACTGGCAGGTTGTCCGTATCACTGGCAGGTTGTCTATATCACTGGCAGGTTGTCCATATCACTGGCAGGTTGTCCATATCACTGGCAGGTTGTCTATATCACTGGCAGGTTGTCTATATCACTGGTAGGTTGTCCATATTACTGGCAGGTTGTCCATATTACTGGCAGGTTGTCCATATCCCTGGCAGGTTGTCCATATCACTGGCAGGTTGCCCATATCACTGGCAGGTGGTTTTTATCACTGGCTGGTTGTCCATATCACTGGCAGGTTGTCTATATCACTGACAGGTTGTCCATATCACTGGCAGGTTGTCCATATCACTGGCAGGTTGTCCATATCACTGGCAGGTTGTCTATATCACTGGCAGGTTGTCCATATCACTGGCAGGTTGTCCATATCTCTGGCAGGTTGGTCAAATAACTTGCTGATTGGCGAGACCACTTGTTTATTGGTCGAAAACCTTGATGATCGGGCAGATCATTTGCTTGTTGGCCGAATACCTTGATGATTTGGCAGATCATTTGCTTTTTGGCCGAATACCTTGATGATTTGGCAGATCATTTGCTTGTTGGCCGAATACCTTGATGATTGGGCAGATCATGTGCTTGTTGGCTAGATCCTTTACTGGTTGGTCAGACCTTTACTGGATGGCTAGATCTCTTATTAGCTGGTCATATCTAGTGACTGTTGGCCAAATCTCTTAGTGGTTGATCAGATCACCTACCTGTTTGCCAATCACTTGCTGGCTCGCCAGAACAGTTGCTCAATACCTTACCTTCCGAGAATACTAGTTTTATATTCTGGAAATTATCTAATACCCGTCTTAATGAGATTGGGTCGGCCACAGGGTCGTAGTTGTCACAAAACCAGACTTTCTTATATTGTGTAGTGTCGTCTAAAAAAGATAACCATGTGTGGTAATTAAAAGAAAAAGACCCTTATCACACGCTTGCATATACTGCTAAACCCCTGGTAATGTAATAACCGTCACACTGACCACTTTTAACTTTCCATTTCTAGTGGTATCCATTTGAGTTGGGATTTTGTGTCATTTATTTTGAATAGTTTTCTAGGTGCGGATTTGAACCCAAGACTTTCAGACATGAGCTAAGCGTGAACTACTGCAAAACGTTTATTAAATAACACTAGATTCCTTTTCTGAGATTTTAATCTTGAAAGCTATTTTAATGAACATCAGCACTCTGCACTGTATCAAGTCCCTACACTATAAAAACAGCTTGAAAATGACTATCTTATCGAAGAAACAAAACAAAGGAAATTGGACGTATTCACGGAAACCTACAGGCAGTCGCAGGCAAAGCAGCTAAATAAAAGCATCATCGAGCAGGAAGAATATACGAAAAGAGAGAAAACTTTTCAGGACGTAATCAACAAAGCTTTTCATAAAACCATGAGGTGACGAAAAGAAGAAATAAACACCAGTACCACTAATATTAGAGAGGATAACAGCAGTACAAAACCACAAGAATAACATAGCAACCACAGGGGACAAAATCGCCAGACACTAAACGACAAACGGCCAAACACTACCAATATGATTTTTTATGACTATCGGTACTTAGCGACGACATGGACAGCAAGAGAACAACAGCATAGAAGGAAGCAGAACCAGGTCTTATCCGGACTAGTACCCGCAGAAGACAGTAAGTTACCAAGACTATAACCAACGAATAACAGCAATAATGCAAAGCAGTATAGATAAAACCACACATAAATGCAGGATCTCAATTATAACTGAGCTCCCCAGGAACAGGTTGAGCAAAGTCACAGCAGTCGTTCTCCCAACCCCCGCACCCATCCCCCGCACCCAACCCCCGCACCCATCCCCCGCCCCGCCCACTGATTAAACGATTGAACAAAAAAAATCTCATCTGAGGCTTGAAGCCCGGCTCTCTGGCGTAGTTGGCTAAACCGGATTGCGCGGTGACCGGGTGACGAACTCCTTGTGGTCCGGGTTAACTCCCGGGGGTAGGCAAAAAAAAAAAAACATTTTTCTTCCAGAATTAAGGTATTTACAATGGAATCAAGGCCGAAAGGTCGCGATATCCATAATACCGAGACTAAGGATTAACAACTCATGGCTTCTGGATACTAAAACAAAAATCTGAAGCTCGAGGTTTGAGGTTTGAACACCGGATCAATATTATGGCACACGGGTCGCAACCTATAAGTGCTCCGTTCTTTTTCTAACTCAAGTCTGAGTCCGAAGAAGCTCAGCACAGTACACAGGCTCTGTAGCACCGATCCTGAAATACTTTGGCTAGATTTTTTACTCAAAATTTGGCACGGGCAGCGCCGTTAGGCTACTCTTTTCGATTTTCAACTGCCAAGAGAATTTTTTTACGTGCGCAACAATACACACGGGCGTCTGATCTCACTAGCCAGACACCAGGAGGAATTACTAGAAGTCCACGTGAAAAAATCCCAGCTCTAGCCGTGATTTGAACCCGGAATCTCTAGCACTCGAGGCGGACACCATGCATCGAAACCATGCAGCCCCCTATCTTATTTGAATAAATCCAAGAAAGCTAGGACATTGAACATGGCACACAAAAACCAAGATCAAAATTATAACACAGACAACTACAGACGGACAACAGAAAACAAAAATCAGGAAAAACTAAGCCATTAAACACAGCACAGAGAAAACAAAGCATTGACGAATGACTAAGAATGTACTCCGATGGTTTAAGGTGATCGAATGCCCCACCCCTCCGCCCTCACTCCCCTCACCAATCACTCCATCCTAACCTTGCTTTTTTCTTTGTAATTAACTTTAGGAATGCCCCATTCCTTTGTAAGATAATGTTCTAATTTATCGTGTTTCTTTTTCCTAGACTGCTATTTGCTGGGGCCAGAAACGGACATATGCCCCAGATTCTTGGAATGGTCAACGCAAAGTACCTCACACCGTGGCCGTCCATCTTTGTTTATGTAAGTCCATTTTTACACGACTCATTTATTAGTTACCATGTTATGAGGAGAGGGAAAATGGAACGAACATGTAACTAATGGAAAGATTTATGGAAAAAGAGACAGAGGAAGACAGCGTGAGAAGATTCGTGACAGCCTTTTGTCATGACACACGATCTCATATACACAGTTGCCTATCGCAGATTGTGGAGCGGCATGATGGCACTCGCCAGTCGACAAGGCACGAACTCATACACACAGTTGCCTATCGCAGATTGTGGAGCGGCATGATCGCACTCGCCAGTCGACAAGGCACTTTATGATGTTGAGGATGATTTATTAATGTCAGAAAGCGGGGTTGGTAGGCTGTTTTTAGTCGCGTTTATCAGGGTAAATTGAAAAGTTTCGTCTGACCGTGGGCGGATGATTACATTATAACGACCATGTCTACGTTTATCCTTATTATCTGAAGAAGATTATGTGGCGTCTCCATTTACTTTCTAAACCTGCATGATGTCCTTTGATGCTGGCTTGCAGAAATATTATCAACATAAATGATTCAGGATTTTGAGAAACGAGATCTACTTAGAGAGGCGAACGTCTGCGCATAGCATGTAATGATGATCTATACAATGTTGATAATATAATATCTCACTTAATATGATGCTTATAACTTATCATTGCTGTGTTACAAATTGCGAGTCGCCGTGGCGTCGACGGCTAGACGGATCGGAAAGTCGTGGGCTCGAGTCCTGAAGGAGCCGGACTTTTTTCAGAAATGACCTTGACTCGAGTGGGTACCAGGTGTAGTCCAGGAAAGTAAAGGCGGCCGGCCTTGTGCTGACCACACCACACACCAAATGCCCATTGGTCTATAAATAATATAGGTCTAGCCCAATACGCCTAGAGGCGTGGAAAAGAGACCTTTAACAATAATGTTACAAATTACTGTTTAACATTGGGTGAGCAGCTCGCGACTCGCCTGCGGATTTAAAGGTCTTTGGTACAGATCCTGATAGAACCGGAGTTTTATTTCCAAAAAATGGGTCGACCCGGCCATAAAAAGGTACTAGGTAAAGTCATGGGAAGTAAAGTTGGGCCACGTGATGTTGGTCTATAAGTATAGGTTTAGCCCTGTATGCCTAGCACGCCTGAAGGCGGAAGTACGTTACAAACCAGCAGCATTTGTTGCCCGTTTGGTTTTCTCGTCAGTTTTACGTTCACTAGGTGGCCACTGATCTCTCAACAGTAGAATCCCCATGCTATTGTCGAATTCAACGCAAAGCTGTGTGCTGTCATAGTGCTAACAACTCAAGCCAACCGGGTGTTTCGGAATAGCAGTCCGAATTCGCAACCTCTAAGTCACAGATACCCCTCTATGTTACTAATTATTTCCAAAATGTTACTAATATCTTATTTACACGTTGCATACAATTTACCCTTAATATGTTACTACTACTAACATGATAGAACCTGCCTTTACTATGTCATCTTCGGCTTGCCTCTGGCGTCTCATTTCACAGGTAATCATTTTAATGATCATCTAAACTCTATTTTGTTTTTCTATATGATTCATACTTCAAAGCTTTGATCATTCGTTCTGCATCTCTTCTAATTAATCTATATTGTTTTCCTTTAATGTGTTACTGGCCAAATACTTATCATTTACACGTAATATTTTAGAAATATGTTACATATAGTTTACTCTTCCTCTGTTGCTAAAATATGTTATACCTGTGTTACGTTAACAGCTGGCCTGGGGTCTGGTGATGCTATTTACTGGAGGTGTCACAGACATGATGGAGTTCATCTCTCTATTTTCCACCATCATGGGCATTGTCGTCATAGCATCACTGCTGTACCTCCGCTGGAAGTTGCCGCACGAAAACAGGCCTTATCAGGTATGAAAGCAATAGTAAAGGGTACTTGATTTCTAGGACAATATGGTGAAGTGTAGGAATTAGTGTAGGAGAAAACAAAATCTTTAAGATACCAACATCAGATCATGTTGATGTCGTACTAGAGAACAAGTAAAAGAAAAGTAAAGGACCCTCTCTCAAGTTTTTAGGCGAATAGGGCATATAGACCAATCGGCACAAGATGGGTGATGTGGTCAGCATCACGCCCCGTCGCCTTTATTTCCCAGGACTGCACCGGAACCCACTCAAGGCTGGGTCGACCTGGGAGCCAAGGTCATTTCTGAAGAAAGTCTGGCTCCGCATAGCTAACCTATGACCTTCCGATCTGCGGCGTGCGTCTAGCCGCTCCTCCACGGCGACTCCCGCTAGAGAACAAACTAATGAAAATAACAGACCATTTCTCAAGGAGACATATCGTTGGAAAAATCCGCACTAAAACAGGCCATATCAGGTATGTAAGGAATATTAAAGAGTCCTTGATTTCTTGTGCAATATAGCGAATAGATAAGGACTACAAATAAGTTATGAGAATACTGTTCCATTTGAAAAACTTGTAAACAAACAATTAGTCCCGGCATAATCCAAAAATATAGTTTACACGCAGTAAATGCATAGGGCAGTTGCTAGAGGCGCTAAAGCCAACAATCACCACCAGAAATGCAGTTTGTCATTGATGCATGTAGTCGGTCACGATAAGTTGGTTGTACACACGAAGAAATTTCATATAAGGTATTTTACCAGCCCACAAGTAAACCAGCTACCGGCCATATTCAATACAACGACTCTTCTGCACAAATAAAAGGCATTTCACGTGAAAAATCACAGCTCACAGTGCTGCACCAAGCACTAAACTCAGTACCTTATGCAGCGAATACCGTGACATGGGAAAACTATATTAGTAAAGCGCTTTCAGAAGCAAAACTATATTCCTAGCTTAACATTCTGCCGTGGCTAGTCCTCCATTTTAGACCGGAATAGAATAAACTCTATGTCTATCCCAGTTATAACCTGAGTAATTTCAAGAGGATTTTTTTTTTCTTCAAATCATCACTGCTACCATGCAATTATCAAATTGATATTGACTCATATTTCTCCGTTAAATTTCAGACAATGTTGTTTGTTCCCATTGTGGAAATTATCGTCAACATTGCAGTACTTGTTCTCGGAATTTACCAGAAACCACATAAGATGGGCATTGGGCTTGCCATACTTTTCGCTGGAATTCCAGTGTACTGGTTTGGTGTTTTATGGAAAAACAAACCAAAGGAGTTTACTGACATCGTTGGTGAGTAAACATTAGCAAAGAAATGGTTTATCTATCTTCCTCTCTCTCTCTCTCTCTCTCTCTCTCTCTCTCTCTCTCTCTCTCTCTCTCTCTCTCTCTCTCTCTCTCTCTCTCTCTCTCTCTCTCTCTCTCCCTCTCTCTCTCTCTCTCTCTCTCTCTCTCTCTCTCTCTCACACACACTAACATTAATTCTCTGTAAGTATCTCCAGTTAACTTCTTTGACTGACTTTTTACCTGACTAGGACATCACACTGAGCGATAAACAGCCGGTGACAAAAAGTGCCACCATTCGGATAAGCATCATTCGTGCAGAGGTCTCAGAAACCCCGTTCAACCTTTAGGTTTATATTAGGGCCCGGCGCAATAGCTAAGGTCGGGCTTCAAAATAACGAAAAATTGCATCCTATAAGTGGATGACAATTGTTGTGTAATCATGACATCTCAGTATGAAAGTAAGTTTTACCCCACAGGATAACACACAGAGCGATAAACACACGTTGACACATAGTACCACCATGCGGATGAGGAACACCTGTGGAGACGTCCCAGAAACCCTATTCAACCGTTAGGCCATATTTTAGGCCTGGCTTAATTTAGGGCCCCCGGCAAAAGCCAGGAAGGGGCTTTAAAATAACTAAAAACTGCATCTCACAAATGTAAGACATTACGCAAAACATCACAGTATTAGTAGTACTTTTACCCCACTAGGTCTTCAAACAAACGATAAACACCTGATGACACAAAGTGCCACCATGTGGATGAGGATCACCCGTGAAGACGTCCTGAAAAGGATGTAACTTAGTAATAGTTGCGTCCTAAAATACGTCTCACAATGAATTCACATTTAATAAAGTGCGGTTCAGGCTGGTGAATGATATATTATAGATTATTAATTTATATGTAAAAAAAAACTGCGTGTGCTACGGAGTCAGTAAAACGTCAAACTATTTTCAGCTACATTTTCCAAACTAGGTATTCTAATACCTGGACGATTTGGTCTACACACAAGAGCAACAAATAAGAACATTTATTTCTCGTATTTATTTATCCGCGGTTATTTCCCTTACATTATAACAAATAGTTGTCGCCCCGTAGGAGTGCGTGAATGAAGTTGTACCCTACTATGACCACAAACACCGAGCGAGTAACACACGGTGACGCAAAGTGCAATGTGTCATTACTCGGAGGAGAATCCCCTAATATACAAATCTGAAAACTCCGTTCAGCCGTGAAGTTGAAAATGGGGCCCTGGTGGTTACAAAGAAATCTGAAATCCTGACAGGGCGAGTCGACTGTAAGGGGAAAAAAAAACCTCGACCTTTACTTAATAATTAAGACAACAAACTATTTTTTTTTTAAGCTAAAATGCTACAGAACGATTCTAAAAATACCGTTTCCAATGTGAGACTCAATTTTTTTTTTTTAAGCCCCAACCCTGATGCTGTCAGAGCCTTAATATAACCTAACGGTTGAAGGGGATTTCTGGAAGCTGTTCCTGACTGATCCTCACCGAATAGTGGCACTCTGTGTCACCAGATGTTTGTCGCTCGTTGTGATGACAAGGTGGGGTTCAACGTCAGTCAGTCAAAGCGTGGACCTAAACGAAAAAAAATATGGACACCCTAAAAGATGTGTAACTCAAAGAAGATTGTTGGCTGGTAAACCAGCATCTTGTCTCGGAAAATGAAA